AGAGGGAAAGATGCAGGGAATGACCAGAAGAGCGAGCCTAGTTAGCTGCCAATAAGAGCCTGGAGTGGAGTGGAATCAGTAGAAATCAGACAGAAGAAATGAATATAAGTGATACGAGATGAACAACGCTTGGAAATTCAGTGGTGATAATTATAATAGTAACTGAGTTACTGGTAAGGATACAACGGTGAACAGGTGGGCACGGCCTCTGTTTTCAATGAGCTTTAGATTAGTTGGGAGTAGGAAAAAATTTTTTAATTTCCCTAATATGGTCTCTGTTTTTAAATATAGTATAGAAATAGGATATTGGAGGTTCAATAAGATCAAAAGTTCAGGAGACAATTGTCACTGAAGAGATGGTTTGTTAAATTCACAGATCCCAAGAGGAGGGGGCATGCCATGCCACACCACAGGGGACCACAAGGGGAGAACCGGGGTCTGTCAGGAGGCAGAGGGGGAGGGGGAAATCCTGGGCAAATGTCTTTATTGTGGTTTCCACCAGAAGGAAAGGGAAGGAAAAAGCAAGGTAGGGTAAGCAGGCTTAGGATTGGCTAGCTTGATTAAGTTCAGCAGGCTCTGGGGCTAGGGGCTGTCCCTGTATGTCTGCTACATGGCTCTGCGGTGATTATGACAAGTGGCCCAGAGTATGAGAACCTGATAAAGAAGGTGATGTGGGTGTGACCCTTCCAGGGTCAGCAAGCCCGCAGATGTTAAACCAACAGAGTACAGAAAATAAAACACACGGTTAATATTGATACAATCTCCTTAAAAGTATGGGAGGGAGTTTATTTAGTTTTGTGTCCCTGACACCCACGATCCTTTGTACATAATATTGGAGAGACTCAGTAAAGGTATGTTGAGTGACAGGTTAATACATCCTCTCTTTGACTCTTAAACTTTGCTGGAGTTGGACAACTCTCATATACGATTGTGTGTCATTTCAGTGGTGGTCACTCTCTCAGGGAGGCCCTCAGACTAAGGTAGGCATCCCTGAGGTGGACACTGCAACACATGGCCCCAATCCCCCTTCAGTGAAGGAGGGCTGACAGCAGACAGCCTTCTGAGTCTGCCTTTGGGAGATTGTGAACAAAAATTAGATAAGTGATCCTTTTAAAAATTAAAGATACTATTAAAACAAAAAATGAAAAATGAATAAGACTGGTTACTTCTTTTATGGCAAAACTACTTTGTATCATAATTAGTGTTCTTTCAATTTCAAGAGACAGAAATCTAACTCAAACTTGCTTAAGAAAAAAAATGGAGGGGGAAAGGCGAGGAGAGGGATAATTGGGAGATTGGGATTGACATATACACACTAGTATATATAAAATAGATAATTAATAAGGACCTACTGTATAGCACAGGGAACTCTATTCAATACTCTGTAACGACCTATATGGAAAAAAGATCTAAAAAAGAGCGGATATATGTATATGTATAACTGATTCACTTTGCTGTACAGCAGAAACTAACACAACATTGTAAATCAACTATACTCCAATAAAATGGTTTTTTAAATAGAATTAAAAAAAAAATTTACAGGCATGGCTGGGTATAAGAGGTCAAATGATGTCATCAGAATTCTCTCCATCTTCATTTGTCTCTCACATCTATTTATCTCTATTCATGACCTCATCTTTTTTTTTTTTTTAAACTCCAAATAGCTTCTCTGTGTTTGGGGACAATGGCCTCAAGCAGCTCCAGCTTACTTTATACTTACAGCTCTCGATTCTGTAAGGAGAGAAGCCATCTCTTTTCCCCCAGATTCCCTATGTAAAATTTCAGAGAGGAAACTGATGGACGTTTACATCAGTCAGTATCCAGTCTGGAGATAAAAACCACATTGGATATTGGATCAGGGAACAGATACAAAACAGCAGTTATTTACTTTAGATTAAGGATGACTGAACAATAAAAGACTAAGGACCAAAGGAGACCCCTCTCCACCCAGGATGAGATTCAGGCCTCTTTGAAGAGGGCAGAACTAACACAAGGGCCAGAAGCTTGCTGCTGGCCAAGAAACTTGCCACAGGGCACCAGCCAGGGCCAAGCTATAGAAGCAGCTTGCCCTTGAGAGAGGGTGTGGACAGGCTGCAGCTGATCCGTACAAGAGTCAACTGTTGCCAGAGGGGATAGGTGGCTGCTGTTGATAAGAGCATGGCCTGAGGGCACAGCTAGAATTCTCCTGTGCACTTGCTAGGCTCCCATCCTAAATAGTAGTGATGATGGAGGACCAGAAGCAGGAAGGGAAGTATCTTCCTCCTGCTATTGCCATGCAGGGTCATTCTATTGTCTTCTATTGATGAAGTTTAGTATTCCATTAGCAGGTAAAGGGCCCAGCTTTAAGATCAAAAAGCAAGGCAAAGAAGGGTGGATTTGGAGAGACAATAGGTTAGGCACCATCCTACTTGGATCACCACACAGTCCTGAACCAACCAGGTTCAGGTCATAGATTCCCCTGTGACCAGCAGGCCAGGGTCATGTGCTCATACCTGTGCTGTGACCAACCAAGTGGTAGGAGGAGCAGCCCCACCACTACGCATGGAGTGGCTTCTCCATAGAACAGATGGATTCTTCAACCAGAAGAAAGGAGAGTGCTAGGCAAATAAAAACAATAGCTGTCCTTTGTATGTTGTATATTGACCTTGAAACATCTGGTTTTATTTGGATTTGTTCCTATAGGAAAGGAAAAATTAAAGCCTTTCTTTAAGAATGATAACTGCATTTTAATTCATTCAAGAGATGTTTATTAAGCACCTACTATAAGAGGAGCTCATCCTCACTAGTCCTGGACTGCTGATATCTTTGTGGACACAGGCTGAATTAAAAGGTCTAAAAATGAAAAGGCAGTTGGAAAAAAGGCTGAGACAAGAAAATGGTACCTTTATTTACAGATTAAATGTCCTAAGAGATGTATCTACACCTTTGTAGCAAAGTTTTAAAATACTACTCATGGTCAAATGAGAACAAGGCAGTATGACCGCATGGTTGAGAGCACAGATTGTAGAGCAGGATGCAGGAACTCAAATCCAGTCTCACTACAATGTGACATGGGGCAGGGAAGTGGTAACTTTTATGAAAGTTTTCTCACATACAAAATTTGAATAACAATAATACCTACCTCCCAGGATTGGTGGGAAGATTAAAAAGCTAACATCTGTAAAGCTCTTAGAATAGCTCTTGTCACATAGTAAGTAAGTACTATATGACCATTAGCACTTATTATGAATTTGCCATTATTAGCTGGATATCAAGTAATGCAACTTTCTCTCAATTAACTAATTTGAAATGCTTTTATCTTCAAAATAAGAAATTTTTTTTTGTTTAGAAGTATCTAACTGCTATGTATATTTTAGCACCCACAAAAGAGGCCATTCTTTTTTTTTTTTGTGGTACGCGGGCTTCTCACTGCTGTGGCCTCTCCTGTTGCAGAGCACAGGCTCTGGACGCGCAGGCTCAGCGGCATGGCTCACGGGCCCAGCTGCTCCGCAGCATGTGGGATCTTCCCGGACCGGGGCACAAACCCACGTCCCCTGCAACGGCAGGCGAACTCTCAACCACTGCACCACCAGGGAAGCCCCAAAAGAGGCCATTCTATAAAAATAATTTTATTCTTTTCACTACTTTCTGTCTCTTTATGAACTTAAATCATGTATCCCATGGAACCAAGTAAAAGCAAACAAAAACTCGTTCTTCGTGTTATTCTACAGCATATGGAAGAAAATACAAACCTTTCTTTTATCATCTCTCTTTAAATGTTTATAAAACTGTATGAAAAGAAAAACTCTTCCCTGAAAATGGATTTGTGTATATATCTTGTCAAAAGAACATTTTTTCACAGAGTACTTTTAGAACTTCTTTTTTTGTTTTTAAAAGGAAACTGCCTCTGAGTATTCCGAGCGAGAAATGTACTCCTTCTCTGGCTGAGTCAGAGAAACCCTTTCCTAATGAGGACTCTGGCACTGACTGTGAACCACTGAAGCCTTCCAACAGTGACACATTCTGCAACATTAGTGATAAGCTGAAGTCTCAGATACTGAGTCTCTCAGCAAGGCCTCGTCAGTGAATGTTAAGATGTCGGGGAAGAATGGGCATGAAAAGAAGGAACTGCATTCCTTCTCCTCTCAGGGATAGGGCTGTGCTCTCTAATAACTCTTACAACTGTCAGAGTTATGGGACTATATGGAGTATCCATACCTGGAAGAAAACAAATAGAAACAAGAGAAAACACCTTACAAAGTACATCTATTTGGAATCTATCCTAAATCATCAAAGTGTGTACACACACACACACACACACACACACACACACACACACACATACACACTCATGCTTAGTCTGTTCGGGCGGCCGTAACAATACTATAGGCTGAGTGGCTTAAACAACAGAATTTATTTCTCATTGTTCTGGAGGCTGGGAAGTTTAAGTTCAAGGTGCCAACAGATTCAGTTTCTGGTGAGGGCCTGCTTTCTGCTTCTTTTCCCTGTGTCCTCCTCACAGAAGGGGCAAGGGAGCTCTCTGGGGTCTCTTTTATAAGGACACTAATCCCATTCATGAGGGCACCACTCTCATGACCTAATCACCTCCCAAAGGCCTCACCTCCTAATACCATCACACTAGGGGTTAGGGTTTCAACATATGAATTTGAGGGGGCATAAATATTCAGCCCATTGCACACACTCACATACACACACACACACACACACACATACACACAATGTCCCTAAACTAGAATTACCGAGGAATACCTTGATTAAAGAACAAATATTTGCTGGATTAAGTAAAATATGATATGGTACAGTATTAGAATTTTTTGTGTATAAAGAAGGTTAAATGTTTTGATACCAACACGATCCTGATTCCTGCAATAAAAGTTTAACAAATACAACATAGAACTGGCGTTTTTCAATCTGGTATAGAATCACACATAAAAAGGTATCAAGTTCACGATCTATGAATGAAGATTTACAAAACATTTTACTACTGAAGATATTCTTACCAAAGGTAGAAGCTATAAATGTGGGACACAGGTGCATCATCTTCCTCGTCAAGCTTTGAGGAGGGCTACCACGTTTCCACAGAATACTCTGTTTCCTAAGAGGAAAAATGGGGACAATCATATCTATCTCTTAGCTTTGTTGGAAGATTAAACAACATGTATTGCAAAGGCCAACACACAGAGTCTGGCAATGATTCCTGCTGACAAATAGTATTTTCCCTCCTCTCCTGGAGGCCACTCTAAGACTTACCCACATGAGGGTGGACACAACCAAAGCATTTTGCTGAAGCAAAAGGGATGTGGGATGTGAGTCTGAAAGAAGACAAAGAGTTGGGGCCCAGCCTGTATTTATAGTGTTTACCACTACTTCCTCAGGCACGCTGAGAAGAACAGAACTTTGGTCAACATACTCCCAATTAGTCCAAATGTGTAATTCCTGAAGACCAATGAGCTGCCTTAGCCTTGAGCTCTGTGGAGACCTACCCTCCTTTAATTTGTGAATGTGCAAAAGGGAGAATCATATTACCATTTGAACACTGTGATCCTGTTACTTATGGACAGGTAGGACACTTGCTCCCCGATTTCTTCAGCAAATAAATCATTCTGTGGTTGCAAGAGAATTTAAAATTTTTAAAGACTGTGTTGGAAAGTGATTAAAGCAAGATTCCAAAACTGAAAATTAAAAGAAAAAGAGTTCCTTGGTCTCTGAAAAAGAATAGTAAGAGTAAAATAGATCTGGACTGTTTATAGACTTAGAAATTATAGTCCACTCTTGTAGTTGTGGGTCTTTTAGAATCCAGGCTTCCGTTCCTCAGTTAACACAACAGTTCATTAATCTATGAGTCTTATATGCAAGGAAATTCTTCTGAGTAATTGGCCTCCCTGTACACCAGCTGGGCTATATCTACATACACATGAGCTTCATTACTTTACCCAGGATTGTGGACTATCAGGGCTTCATTAGTGAATCAATGGATTTTTAAAAATTCTTTCCCGGTTGGAAATATATTTAGGGAATGTTGGAGTTTTAAAAATAAGTGTTTCCAGAAATATGCCATTTTGTTATGGTTTTCCCCTCATCTCATTGACAATTCTATAGCATTTCAGAAAATAAATTTAGAGACTAGAATAATCTTTGGCTATGAGAAAAGAACGTTTTAATATCTCTATTAAGTATCTTAATGAACAATTTTGGGAGGGTCTATTTGTTTTTTTTTTTCTATTATCTCTTCTGTTGATGTTTCCAAAGGGTTAGTACTGTACTCCTCTTAAATGACAAAGAAATTAGGGTCTCTAAAGATCTTCCTTATTTCCACTTTTAATGAATTGTTATTTGCATTTCTTTTAAGGTTGACTCTTTTGATTCTTTATAATGTAGATAATGCTTTGATAGATCATTCTTATAGAATTATTTAAAACCTTAAAAAAGACATTTATTATCATTTTAACACGATTTTCCCCTATCAACCAAATTGATACTTTAAGAATATTCAAACCAGCTGGCGAATCATTTCCAAACACACTTAGTTGATAGCAAACATTTCATTTTGGAACTGAAAGCTCACTATGTCGGTTCCTGAGCCTCTAATTTCAATGTTACTTGAGACCACACTGGAATACACAGCCACTCTCTTTATTTTTTATTAGTTATCTATTTTATACATATTAGTGTATATATGTCAATCCCAATCTCCCAATTCATCACACCACCACCACCCACCCCGCTTTCCCTGCTTGGCGTCCATATGTTTGTTCTCTAGATCTGTGTCTCTATTTCTGCCTTGCAAACCGGTTCATCTGTACCATTTTTCTAGATTCCACATATATACGTTAATATACGATATTTGTTTTTCTCTTTCTGACTTACTTCACTCTGTATGACAGTCTCTAGGTCCATCCACGTCTCTACAAATGACCCATTTTCATTCCTTTCTATGGCTAATATCCCACTGTATATATGTACCACATCTTCTTTATCCATTCGTCTGTCAATGGGCATTTAGGTTGCTTCCATGACCTGACTATTGTAAATAGTGCTGCAATGAACATTGGGGTGCACATGTGTTTTTGAATTATGGTTTTCTCTGAGTATATGCCCAGGAGTGGGATTGCTGGGTTATATGATAATTCTATTTTTAGTTTTTTAAGGAACCTCCATACTGTTCTCCATACTGGCTGTATCAATTTACATTCTCACCAGCAGTGCAAGAGGGTTCCCTTTTCTCCACACCCTCTCCAGCATTTGTTGTTTATAGATTTTCTGATGAAGCCCATTCTGACTGGTGTGAGGTGATACCTCATTGTAGTTTTGATTTGCATTTCTCTAATAATTAGTGATCTTGAGCAGCTTTTCATGTGCTTCTTGGCAATCTGTATGTCTTCTTTGGAAAAACGTCTATTTAGATCTTCTGCCCATTTTTGGATTGGGTTGTTTGTTTTTTTAATATTGAGCTGCATGAGCTGTTTATATATTTTGGAGATTAATCCTTTGTCTGTTGATTCGTTTGCAAATATTTTCTCCCATTCTGAGGGTTGTCTTTTCGTCTTGTTTGTAGTTTCCTTTGCTGTGCAAAAGCTTTGAAGTTTCATTAGGTCCCATTTGTTTAATTTTGTTTTTATTTCCATTACTCTAGGAGGTGGGTCAAAAAAGATCTTGCTGTGATTTATGTCAAAGAGTGTTCTTCCTATGTTTCCTCTAAGAGTTTTGTAGTGTCCGGTCTTACGTTTAGGTCTTTAATCCATTTTGAGTTTATTTTTGTGTATGGTGTTAGGGAGTGTTCTAATTTCACTCTTTTACATGTAGCTGTCCAGTTTTCCCAGCACCACTTATTGAAGAGACTGTCTTTTCTCCATTGTATATCCTTGCCTCCTTTGTCATAGATTAGTTGACCATAGGTGCATGGGTTTATCTCGGCACAGCCACTCTTTTCTTAAGAACGTCCAGAGAAAGTTTTAGCATTTATTTCCTTCAGAAGTGTATTTGAGTCTCACAGCTAAAGTCCATGTGTTCATGGCAACAGGAGCAAATGCATATTGATACAGGATAAGTGATTGGTAACACTAATGTTGGAGGCCAAGACAGGCTGCCCCAAAATGTGCCTCAATGACATATTGATTATTTTGAATTAAAGTTACTTGAGAAACAGCCAGTGGAAAAAAATGATGTTAAAAAACCAACTCTGACCCCTTTCTTTCCCGCTGAAAGCAGGAAATAAATTTCCCATGTGAAGTTATTTTCCCTATACCAGGAGGATAGAAAGCATCCTTATCACTGTTAGGGAATTCAAGGTTAAGAAAGCTGTATAGAAAAACCCTATTACTTCTCCATTAGTCTGCTACCCCAAGCACAATCCTCTTTGTTTTGTTAAATCTTCACAAATAATTGTTTCTTTATCTAAAAATGATATGTATACAGCCTGCTTTGGCCACTTCAGGAGTCCCATTTCTATGAGACCTCCGTGTGTACGAATTAAATAGTTTTTTTTTTCTCCTGTTAATCTGTCTTGCATCAATTTAATTAATAGACCAGCCAAAAGAATTCAAGAGGGGTAAAGGGAAATTTCCCCCCTCCCCAGCACTAACAGCTGTCTGCTCCAGCTGTGAAGATATTTCACTGCAAAATCAACTTTGCAAAAAAAAAATTTAAGTCATTAGAAGACTATTCGATTCTTATTTGTTCTTTTAGTAAATTGTTACAAATAAATTGAGTGAATAAATGAATGCAAGAATGCCTATGATGTGCTAGGTACTGTGTATCACATACCCTGGTTGTATAGCAAGTGGGAAAAACATGGGTTCCCACCCTCATGAAACTTACAGTCTAGGAGGGGAGAAAAACATAAAACAAAGAATCACATAAATAAATATCTAATCAAATATTTATGACAGTATTGCTGATGAGTTGTTCCAGTCTTTATTTCCTCCATAGGAAAATAATTTTTTAAGTGAAAGCTGAAAATAATTCTCTGAAAACCTACCTCCTGTGATGTGAACCCATTTACTCATTCTCTGGATGAAAGTGGAAAGTAGTTGTGTCATATTGACTCCACCTTCCTCCTTTCACATCCAATTAGGTGCCACAGCTTATTGATTTTATCATCCAAATATATCTTATATTCATTCCTTCTTCTCCATTTTCCATACCCAAAAGCAGAGTACCAGTTCTCTGGTCCTCTTACCCAAATTATTTTAATAGATTCCCAGAATCACAAACAGAATAGGAGATATTAAAGTAGGAAAAGAGCCTAGAGATCATTCTTCAGATAAGGAAACAGGCTCAGAAAGGCAAACGTCTCACCCAGGACCCCACGATTCAGCCTAGTCACACATGCCATTAACGTTTCTTAGGGGAGCCACGGACGACATTTTCGGCTGCCTGCTTGCAGTCATTCCCAGCCCTTCTTCCTCGTTAGAAAATCTGTCTTCCCGAGATAGAAACCAAAAATGACAAATTCTGGCTTTCCTAGGAATGGCCATGTGACCCAGTCATGGCCACCAAGATGTAAAAGAAAGCCTGTTGGCTGGTTTCTGAGAAAGAGTTTGCTTCTGACAAAAAGAGAAATCAAGGACAGCAACAACCACTCCTCTTTCTTCCTGTCTTTGGAGCTGAACAACAGTGGCCTGAGGATAAAAAGCCAGCCTCTGAGGACGGAAGATCAGAAAATGGCAAGCACTTGGGACCCTCACCTATGAGTCCTGAGCTAAATTTGGGACTGCCTACTTGCAGACCTCTTATTATGAGAGATCGTTTAACGTCTTTCCTATTTACAACTTGATGTCATGTATTCTGTTACTTGCAGCTGAGTATACCTTGGATGGACTCCTGCTTTATTTATTTTCCATCTACCCCACTAAGCTCCAGAAGAGCAAGGAATGGACCTATTTTCTTCATTGCCATATTCCCAGTCCTAGAGCAGAGCCTGGCACAAAAATCAGCCCTTGAAAAATATTTGTCAAATGAATGAATGCCCCCAAATCTTCATTGGTTCTCTACTTCCATAGAATAAAGTCCAAAGGATTATTCTGGCATTCAAGGCCCTTCATGAGCCAGTCCCACTCAATTTACCTTTCCACCCTTATATTTTACTTCCACAAATTATATAATTTAAGCAAACCGGACTGCTTCCTGTCCTCCCAAGCACCCCCTGTGGCTTACTGATCAGAGCTTTCGTTCCAACATTCCTTCCACAGAATATGCATCTCCCCCTCCTCCACTTGGATACTTCCCTCTCACCCTTCAAGTTCCAGATCTTCCCCCCCATAGCACTGTCTCTGACACTCTCCAGGTACAAATAACTTTTCTATATTTCCTTTCTCTTGTGCCATTTACCACTTTTAAACATTTATGATAATTATTTGGTGTACTCATCTCTATTAGATTATAAGCTTCTTGAGGATAGGAAATCCACCCTCCCAAGAAACAGATACCATGCTTTGCTCCAGTAGGTACCTAGTAAATTTCTCTTTGTGAGTAAAGAAATGAAGAACATTAAAGTAAGCCCATTTAAAAAATAATTTGGACGCAGGAATGGATGCTGACTCTCTTGAAAACAAAGGTCTGAATGAATTGCAGGAGGGGAAAGAAAGGAGGGAAAGAGACTTGTTGGAAGTGTCAGGAGAAAGCACGGGTGCTTTTTCTCTTGCCGATGACAGCAAAGTTCTTAATGGAAGATGATCCCAATCGATAGAGCCAGACAGCTGATTTATGTAACGGAATCAAGCTGAAGTAGTGGTCTTCTTCTGCAGAGTGATGTGAAAGCGGAAAAGGTTACTAGACTAGGGAGGCCAGGGGACTCCACAAGTGTATCTGCTGGTGTTCATAAATATGTTGCCCATCCCCAAACCACAGGAGAGCTCCAGAGAGCAGCCTCCTTGAGCCTGGATGCTGGAGAGTGACAGCGGGGCTGATGCCGCTGCTGTATTTTGGCTGCCGTCGCTGCTGCCACTGGGCAGATACCGCAGTGAGGGGTCTGACCGCACTGAGCGCTCTCAGGAGCCTGGGTCTGGCTAGGAATGAGAAGTTGAAAGTGAGGGTTGGGAGGTGGGCAGGACTCACATCGGAGCTGCAAACCAAAACAAGAAATCTAGGGAGCAGAAGGAGAGAAAGAGCGAGCTGGAGCCAGGACCTCAGGCCAAGTGGAACTGGAGGAAATGTCATCATTGGTAAAGGAGGACTTGGAGAAGAAACTGTTTAAGCCACTCTCGCAGAATCTGTACGAGTTTATTGAAATAGAGTTCTCGGTCCAGGACAGGTATTACCTCTGTGTGTCAGGTAATCTGTTCTTTCTGTTATCATTTCAAAACGTAAATAACCCCAAGATGCTTGGGTGATAGAAGGACATTTTTGGGTGTTTATTTTCCTATGCAATAACAGCAGATGTATCTTCTTGTGATAGAACTTAACTATGTGAAGATTAAGAATGTGGATTCTACAGAATTTTTTTAAGTGCTAAAATGGAAGACAAAAAAATATTGTATTAAAAATATTTTGGTTAATTGTTCAGAAATGAAACTGGGTATGTGCTTTTGCTGATTTGATTATTTAGTCTCCAGTCTTTTATTTAATTCACTTGCATGGCATGCAGTTTTCTTGTGTAAGAGCTTGTTTTAAAAAATTCAACGGAGAGCTCTCTATATATTTTTAAACATATTGGAGAATTGAGTTATACAGCTCTATTTCCAACCAATCTGGACAACTAGGGTTCTCTCTTTTCATGCTAGGAAAGAAAAAAAAAAAAAAGACCTTAGATTTTCTTCTGAGGCTTGTTTAGACTTCCTGGTGGCTTATTTTGAAAAGAGAAATGATCTTTTAAAAATTCTTTCTCACAGTATGCTCACAGAAACACTATTTTAATGATAGAAATTAGTTCATGAAGATGGAACTTTAAGGAAATGTTCTCTAAACTAATTAAAATATTTTCCCTCATATTTTAAAAATTCATGAAAATTGTCCAAAGGTAGAAATAAGCTTTTGCACTTAATTACGATTTACCTAACCAGTAATTTTTGTGCTGAATTTAGACAGAAATTCTTGTGCCATTATTGAATTTAATATAAGCATTTCCTTTTCCCAATCCATGCTTTTTAATAGTTCTCAGGGGCTTCGGAGGAAAGAGCTTAGAAACTCTAAGTTTTCATTGTAGACTTTGCTTTTTAAGGCACACAGTTCAGCATTTTCAGAAAATTTGTTATAACTCCTTTCCGGATAATTTGCATAGAAGAACTTTCAAAAGTTGTCAAGAGGGGCTACTATAAGGGAAGTAGAACATCTTTAGAGAAAGTGCTAAGAACTCTTTAAAATTCTGTAATTCCTAATAAGTATACGAATATTTACTTAATCATAAGAATACTAACATTTATCTAATACGTTACCTAGCATATTTTGCCAAATAAATAAAAAGTGTAAGGCTTAGCATATCAGCAAGGTACAAAACTTAAAATCAGTCCGGGAAAAAGAAAGAAATCAAATGGAAAAAGGTCAAATGAAACAATTTTAGAAACTGTATTATATACAAACGATCAGATCACTATATCTCAAAGCATCTTGACTTAATATATTAGAGAATATGCTCATTCCAACATGAAAATTTAGTAATTTTATACCTATTATAATCCTACTTTATAAAGCTAATTACTCATCACATAACATTAGTGTATATGTGTTTTTTAAGAAACTTATAAAAAATAGAACAATCAATAATGCATATTTATTTACCAGGCATTATTTACATCTAATTTACCACATGTATCTTAATGCCCGCCTCCAACTATATAATTAACTTGTTCTATCTGGCATGGAAAAAAAAAAAACACTCCTAGAATTAAATTTTTGGAAATGGATGTAATTTTTTCCCCAATATCCTCAAGTTCTGAGAAAGACACTGTGGGCTGGGGTCACCTGCTGTCTGTTTTCATAAATGACATGAATCCTTTTAACCAGGATTGGAACAACAAGGGGTTGGCATTGTTAACATGTGTGAAGGCAACTGCTTTAGGGTTCAATGTTTTCACCTGGACAATGGCCACATAAAGTAGGTGATCACTTTCATTAGTAAAATTCAATGATTCTGTCATGTTAGAAGCAAAGGAAAAACAAGGTTCTCTTAGATGTGAGAAAGAGAAGACAATATTGTGATATTCCAGGTAAAAGTTAACATTATAAGTCATGTTCATTCACCAACTTTATGATTCTTCTACATATCACATCCATCAACTTGAGAGCACTTTCCCCAAATCTGGCATCTCTTTATGACCATTTCGAATGCAATTAGAACAGTAATTTAAAATAAAGTCAGGGTGATGCTTGCTAGTCCTAAATCTTTGACTATGCTTTACTCAGAAAATCTCCATTGATAGGAATCAAGCAGGCCATATCTCAACTGTTGAGGCAGGTAACTCTAGGTTTTGAATGTTGGCCACCTTCTGGGAGTAGGGAGACATATAGTTATGATTTCCTCTTTATATTCTACAATCCAGCAGTTCTAAATTTGTGAGAATCAAGTCTAGAGTAGTTAAATCCCAACATGCATTTCTCAAATTAAAGAAGATATGTTTAAATAAGTTAAACTTTCTATTTATCCAATCAGAGTCTGGCTTTTGCAGGGGTCTCACAACCAGATGATTGTGATTTACTGTTGCCTTGATAACTTACTTGGTCAATGTCAAAAAGCAGATGTCTTAAATCCTGTCTCCCTCTCTGAAGTTTGCTAGGATTTACATTGGGGATTTCCTGGCACCTCTGTCTCCTCCCACATCAGGGTTTACATGGTCATTTCCCCTTGAAATTAGCTTCCCCTAGCCTAGACCATCATTATCCCTGGCTGTTAAAAGCGGCAACTTCTTAGGAAGGAGGGAGGAGCTCTATAAAGTACGGAAAAAGAAACTGACAAGTCAGTTGTGCAGTGATGAGAATGCAAATGAGTTAAAGAAATTCTGAAGGACTTGAAATCGTATGTAAAGTGATTATGGCTGATTGGATGGGAAGTAGCAGGGCATGGTGGAATGGACTTTGGAAGGCTAGGAGTCCGACACAGCTGGTGTGAAACATGACTCTGCTTTGCCCACCTGCCAGCTGTGATATATGGGGCAACGCTGTGGCCTCGGTGTTGACCTCTCTGAACCAGAAATAATAACATTTACATCTACACATAGTGCTCTCCTCTTAAATCCTAACTAGGGGGAAAAAATGATAAATTCTACTTCAAATAGGGCTAGAATTTTATTCCAAATTGGAAGGTGGGGTTATATTGTTAAAATTACAGAAAAGAATGTATCTATTGTGAAAACATATGCTGAAGTATTTATGTATAAATAGTATATGCTGTAAATAAATATTTATAAAAAAAATAAAATATACAGTAAACATATGGAAGTATTTATATTTTATAAATAAAAATTGTATACATATTCAGATACAGATTTAAGTATTCACATATATTTAGAAAAACATTCTCCATTCACAGGTAATTCATTTGAAAATAAATGGCATTTGCTAGAATTATGAAGATGGTATGCATAAATTCTCCATACCTATTACATGTTGATGCCAAAAAAGAACTTCTTCTCTGTGAACCGGAGAATTGAATAATTTTGTGAAATCATTTATACTGTTCACAAAAAGAGTGTTAAATAAGTTAACAAGAAAAGGAAACAAAATACTAGAGACTGGGTGGCTTATAAACAACAAACATTTAGTTCTCACAGTTCTGGAGGCTGGGAAGTCCAAGAACATGGTGCCTGCAGATTCGGTGTCTGGTGGGGATCTGCGTCCTCACAGACCACCTTTTTCTCCCTCTAACCTTGCAGGGTGGAAAGGGCAAGGGAGCTCTCTGGGGTCTTTTTAGAGGGACACTAATCCCATTCATGAGGGCTCTGCCCTCATGACCTAATCACCTCTGAAAGACCCCACTTCCTACTACCATAACCTTGGGGGTTAGGATTTCAACATAGGAATTGAGGGGAAGGAGGGACAAACATTAAACCTAGAGTACCCAGTATTGCCCCAAAATCGATTTCATTAAAATATTTCTAGAAAAATTATTCGAAAGTTACTTTTTTGATGAAATCTATAATAGCATTCTCAACAACCCCAAGACATCACCAATACACTGAAACATGTTCACTGAGGCTTCTTGTCTTTGATATCTCATGGTAGTTTTTCCCTATTACTTAATTTCAATGATGAAAACAATTATGTAACACTGGGATTGTAAAATAACAGTGGTTTATGTATTTAAAGTTCTTCTGTGCAGTTTACTCGTGAGCTACTGTTTTTCCTGTTCTGCCAAATTATATTGGTTCACTTGGCCAATCTTCTTTCCACTTAGCCTCATGAATAATAGTGACTATTTCACCATGATAATAGAGGCAGTTATTAACAACAATGTTTATTTTGAAATTAAAAGTGAAGATAAGTTGTTAGCATGAAGTTAAGATGGTTGTTCTGAAAATGCTAACTAAAATAGTGAAACTGGAGCAGGTTCATTCTGAAAGTCCCTGGGTCTATAGATATCACTAAATCATAATTAGCGGCACATCTGATGTTACGGAAACCAACTCTGTTAACATTTTGACTATACAAACAAAATTCTGTTTTAAGACAATGTGATGTTTCCACTTTGCCGCTGCCTTAATGTGAATATGGCCATTTAATTTTAGCTAGCAGCAGAACACAAGTATGGAACTTAGGGATTGGGTCCACTCCAGCCTGATCAGACTTTGACTCTTGGCTAAAGACAGTTCTTGGAAACTCCTTGGCTACAGAGGAGACTATTTTGCCAAATTGAGTAGGTTGTACCGTCTCTGTGCTGCATCACTATATCAAAAGGTTAACTTTTAAAGCATGCATTTTATTTTCTTAGTTTGTTATTAGTGGGACAGTGACCATTAATGCAAGAAAACTTGATGACTGGTAGATCCTACCTTCTTAACATCTCTTTCTTCATTCCCTCCCTCCCACCCATCCTTTACAGAATTGCCCAAGAAAACTTTCTAAAATGTAAAGCTCAGCCTGACCATTCACTTAAAGTCCTTCAGCGACAACACTCCTCACCCTCATCAATCTCCCCAAAAACAGAGCTTTCAGGATAATATTTGAACTCCTTAGCGTAGCATTCTAGACCATTCAGGAACCAGCTCCTGCCTACCCTGCTTCCTACCACCTATTCACCCCTGCCCTTCATGCCAGCAATACTAAATGCCTGTAAGGACTCAAAAGATTCAAGTATTTTACGCTTTTGTCCACATGCTGTTCCAGAACTCCCTTTACCCCTTTCTTCATTCTGCTAACTCCCATGGTCCTTTACAACTCAGATAACCTCCTTCAAGAAGCTCTCTCTGACCCCTAGTGGGATGAAGATGTCCCTTCTCCATGTTCCTATAAGACCCTGTCCATGCCTCATCCACAGCACTTGATCGTGTGTTTTCTCTCTGAAACCCCACTCTCTGTAATCTCAGCAGGAGCAGGAACAGTGCCATAGGGGAATGCACTTTTTCAATGCCTAGCCCAGGGCTTTGTACAAAAGGGGCACTCAAATACTTATCAAATTAATGAAACAAATCAGTGGGTCTACAGTCAATTAGCTGGTTATCATAACATGTAGATGAGGCAGTGAATTTGCTTCAAATGATATTTTTATACAGTATCCAGTTATTTCTCCCCATCCTCTCCCACTTCCTAAGTCACCAGTGAGACAGCTAGCCAGAACAAGAACATTATTATTTGGTTCTGAGGTAGAGCCTTTGTCTGGACAGACAATTACCTACTAGGGGAAGGAACTGCCTCCAAAATTTTGTCCTAAGTAAGTATGACAGAATCAACCATGCTTCCACTTCAACACACCAGCCTAATGGCTTCTTTTCTCTTTTCCTTTCCTCTTCCCAAAGCTAACATCTAGACCAGTGGAAGTGGACCTTTTTTAGGGTTGGAGAAGTATACACGGGCAGAAACCCACCAAATTTTGCACAGTTTCAGGAGACTCACAGGCTCTGAGCCAGTTTTCTTACCCAGGGTTAAGATCTTCCACACTAGGTCCCCTCCAGGACGTGCCCCTCAATCACTCCTTTTGTCCTCAAAATATGCCATCACTCCTCTTCCAGACTCTTGGAATATGTGATCTAAATCATAGCCTTTATTCTCTTATCTCTCTTTCTAAACCCTACCTAACATGAGAACTGGCGCATAGTACACACTCAGTATAGTGAGTCCATGAAGGAGCACTCTACAAGCTGTTTTCTGCCCTCCCCATTCTAGAGAAACTGCCCTCAGTGAAGAAATCAATGATCTTCCCCAAGTCAGATTCCGTGCCAGGACTGAACAAAGTTACCCAACAATGTAACTTCATGGGATTGTCTCCAGCTCTTGAAATTCTCTGTCCTCTTGATTTCCATAGATTGCACTGTTGGGCTTGTCTCTTTTCTGCGGGTCCCTTCTTAGACCTCTCTGCTGGCACCTTTTTTATTCTCTACTCTGTTTCACCTCTTTCCTCTGCTCTTCTCCCTATAAACCTAGTTTTGGAAGCCTGTCCCCACAGAAAAATCCCAAGTCTGTACCTTCATTCCTAAACTATAAACTTCCATCATCTCCTTCTCTTCTGAGATAGTTTATGGAGCTCATCTGTACATCAAAGACTAAATTCACTATTCCGCCCAACCATGCTTATGTATTTGGTTTCCATCCAGTGGTGTGAATGCCTCATTTAAAATCTAACTTAGATTTACCACCTCTATTTCCATTGCCTACATCCTACGCCTAGATTCCAACAACAGCCTCATAAACAAAACAAAACAAAAACGGAAACAATTACTATAAACCAGGCACTACCCTAAGTCATTTATATACTTTAATCTTTATACCCTATGGGTTTGTATCACTCTGATGTCCACTTTACAACATGGAAAACTGAGGTTTAATCTCTCTAGAGATTAAATAATGAGATTACAGACCACACTGTAAGAAGTGGTGTCATGATTTGAATCCGGAATGTTTAATGCCAGAGCCCACTAAGACACACTGCCTCTTCTAGGGGCCTCCAGTTCTTCTTTCTTTTCTTCTTCAGTGTATCCTGGGCATCACTGATTCCAGAAAAATACTCCTTCAACAGGGCACCACTGTATTAGTCTCCTGTTCAAGGAGGAAAGAGACTTACTGAATATGTATTACAGTATGAGGTTTCAGTGAACTGACATAGTGCCCTCTTCTTAGATTTGTCAACCTGCTCAGACTCCCTTCTCTGGGAGACTGAGCTCAGCTCCATCATGAAGTCTAAGTTCAACTGTTTGCCTTAATTTCAGTATCACCTGCACTTACAGAGGATAACTACTCCCTTCACCAGTCCCAACTCTGGAGCCCTTACTGTCCAGGCCAGATTCCAATCCCTCCCATCAGAGGGGGGTTGAGACACCATGAGTCCACAGTGGTTTCCGTCACTTTTCAAAACATATTCACAACCTGGTTAACCTTGTTGTCCACCATATCCTAACACCAATCAATCTATACAATCCACTGTCTCTAATCCTACCCAGTGAAGTTCAGGGTCTATTGTCTACTCATTTTGTCATACTGTCCTTCACCTAGAAATGCCGTCAGTATCATCCTTGCCTTTACTAATTTTAAAGCTCTATCTCCAATTCTATTTCTTCCATAATTATTTCCTTTATTCGAATCCTCTCCCTTCTTAGAACTTCTGTTGAACATATAGTCTGTTCCATATTGCTTATCTATCCCTATGATTATATTGTAATATATTGTTTTAATCTTCTTAACTCGGAGGTCATGCCAAAGTGATGCTTTCCAGAACCAGAAGAGAGTCTTCCCCAAAGACAAATTCCAGTCTCATTCTTAGAAGACAGAACCAGCTTGTAACTCTCCAAGTGACATCATCCACCTTGAAAGTTTAAGATATTCAGTTCCCACTGCCACCTTTTTATAATATACCTGTATACCTTCATATTATATATTTTATGTGACACATGTGTGTTAGCCTTGTCTCTTCAACAAAACCATAAGTTTCCAGAGGGCAGGGACCATGTCTCATACTTGTACCCCCTGTGGCATTTGTAATAGTTCTATCAGGCAAATAGTGGATACTCAGTAAATACTCCCTTGGGAATTCATTGATAACTTTCTGTCCAGGAACTCTAACATCAAATGTTGATTCTTCTAATGTGTTCATATGAGACCAAACACAATGATTTTAAGACCAGGAAATTATTTCCCTCATGTTGTTCACATAAAATAAGCAATGATTTTCCCATACCTTTCAAAGTATAGAACTAAAGTTTTTTGTCTCGATGGCACATTTTGAATACTAGGATTTTGGATACGCACTACGGAGGATTAAAAATCTCAAACGATACCAAATAGGTCAGTAGTTGCTGTTTTGCAAGCACTCTTACATCAAAAATCTCATAGCAACTTAAAAAAAAAAAAAGTGTGCACAAGTATTTGCATGGTCAGTCTTCAACAGTGGGTTGCTGTGTGAGCAGAACTGTTTACTTTCCTGTGCTCATTTTCTTATATTGTCATAAATTAAAATTCCAACTTGTTCTGGTAAACACTTTGGCACTGACTCTATGCTCACGCTAAGACTCCTATTTCCTGCCCTGAGTTGAACTCTATCTTCCACCACAAAGCTCAGAGCTGAAAGCACAGAGCTTGGTGTTCTATCTGACAGACATTACCGCGGCTGTATGTGACCACAATTGCAGCAAAAATAAAGTTAACACACTGAGGAAATTTGAGGGCATACTCATGAAGCTTCAGATACCTCAGGGTTCATAACTGGGGTGCAGATACAATGTATGTTCAAGCTTATTATAGGAAAAGGAGATTCATACATACTGAAAAATATGATGATGAATAATTTATTATCTTCTAAGAGTCTAGGTAAACAAAGTGTTTTTCTGTCCTACAGTGACCAAAAATGAAGAAGTAAAAATAATTATGGTGAAACACTACAGAATAGGTTTAGATGAAAAATATGAAGTAACCAAAAAGTGGTCTTTGAACGATCTGCGGATGATCGATGGAAAAGAAGCAGATACAGTAAGTGTTATGTTTTGTAAGGGAGATATGGGATCAATATGCTGGAGACCTTTATGGTTAATATCTTACTTCATATATTTTTGGCATGTACTGAGAGTTAAAATGACATATTATTCTTAAGTGGTACAGTTTACTCTACTGGGATGATCTACTGGTTTGTTTGTTCTGTTTTTATGAGTTTAAATTTGAATTTTTTCGATTAGATTTAAAGCATCTTTCCCAAGGTCTTCTTAACAGGTTAAACACAATCTTCCAGCCAGTTATGAAACTTTAAATATCTGATGCTTCCACCACCACTCTCTTCCAAGCCCAGTTTCCTCCATAATTTGTGGGGATTCCTTTCCTCATCTTCTTCAGATTTTACTGTCAGTTAGCTGCTTGATCCTCTGGAAGGATCAATAACCCTTGGAAATCCTACAACCTCAGTGTTGAAAGTGGGGAAAGGGTGTGTACTTTAATCTCTTGTGTGACCACTTGAAAGTGGTTTTCCCAGTCTCTCCTTGAACTCTTCTACTGATGGAGAACTCATTACCACATGAGTAAATCCATTCTACTTCCAAATTAACATCCTTTATTTTTACATGTCCCACTTACGTTTAACTAAAATCTCCTTCACTATAACATCCACCCATCAGTCCTAGCATCGTCATTTGAACCAACCAGAACAAACCCAATCCTTCTTTCACATAGCAGCCTTCCCAATGTTTGAAGACACTAATAAGGTTCCCTCAAGTTTTCTCTTTTCTGGGTTAAATGTAACCATTTCATTCTTTAAATAATGTTCATATGAAGATCAAATAAGTTAATATGACAGGTTATACAAACACTAAGAGGTCATAGCGCTGTTATTTTCTCCCATGACATTGCTGCAACACCCTTCACTATGCAATTTCTTCTCCTCTGGAATGTTTCAGCTTTTCCAGAATTAAATACAATACTTTAGAATTAGCGTGACCAATTTGTATTTCCTTTGATCTGGATTCTTATTTCTAGTAAACACTCAACTGAGACCTCAGGTCTTTGGGGTATGAATTGCCATTTACCCTGATCTGCCGCACCTGCTACGCACATGGAATAAAATCTAGATAAAAGCCCTTCATGATCTGGCTTCTTTATATCTGGTCATTTCTCCTAAAACTTTATACAGCAAAGGTGCTTTAATACTCTCGGGGCTTAGAAAGCTCAGTCACCTCCATCCCTCACCCCATTCTCAGATTCCCCATGGAGTAAAGTCCTACTCATGTCCCCCTGCCCTATAACCCCATTGCACAGTGGATGTAAATAATCCAACAAACTGCAACTGTTGGCTTACTCTGTCTCCCCTCTGGATAAAAAACTGTAACCATTCCTTTTCATCTTTTATTGTAGCCTTCTGCCTGGCAGTTATCAGGGACTCAATAAATATTTCTGTTATTGTTGGATGAGTTAGAATTTAAGCTCAGTTTTTCTTAATCTGATTAAATGCCATATTCTTAGGTTGGCCTATTGTTCCTACCTATCAAATCTTCTAATATTTTGATTTTTTAATATTCACTATAGTATGCTGCAGATTTAATGTGCACAGCATTTAGGACTTCATTCAAGTCAATAATAAAAATGATGAAGCAGGCAGGGCTAAGTGCATACCTCTAGGTAATTGATAGGTTACCATTACTACTACTATTATTACCACTACTAGTAGTACTGCTACCTGCTACCATCTCACACTCAGTAAACTCTTACCAGATGACAGGAACCACAAAAAGCTCTTTCCATATGTAACTTCACATAATTGTCACAAAAATCCCATGAATTAGATTCTATCATTACTCCTGATTTACAGATGAGGAAAATGAGACATAAAGAGATTAACTGACTTGCCTAAGGTCAAATAACTACTCTAGAGATGGAACTAGATTTTACCTCCAAATCTATCAATTTGTCTTCTTTGGACTGGTTGTTTATCATCTCTACAAATTTGTGTATTCAGTCACTCACTGAGAATTTATGGTATACCAGGCTCTGCTAGGCTCTGAGGATACAGTGGTAAGTTAGATGGACACAAGCTCTTAATTCTGCCACTTAATTCTGCCTTATTAATTATCTAGTCTGAATATCTAAATTTTTCCCTTAAGATCTTTACTGAAATCAATATATGTTATCTGCTATTATCTTATCACCTAGGAATCCTATTTTTAAAATTTGGTGTGTTTGGCATGACTTCTTGGTGAAGACATGCTGGATTTCATTGCTCTCTTTCCTAAGTAATCACATAGCATTTTTCTGACATTATATTCTATCTAAATGTTCAACACTTAGGAAATAGTTAAATATATTTTTTCATGTCATTATGCTGGAACATTACATGGTCATTAAAAGTCATGTTTCCAAAAGAATACCTCAGAACACAATTGTTCACCATTTAATACGTTTTTTAAAAGTCAGCTGAATACAAAACTTTTCTATAATATTATCTCATTTTACATATTTAATTTATCATAGTATTGAAAATTGAAAGCTGAACCTTAAATTTTAATACAAAAAAATGTATGTGGGTATGTAAATGTATATATGAAACTAACCAGTACTTCAACAATAATTATCTCTGTGTCATAGGAGTACAAATTTTTAAAGTATTTTCTTCTATATACTTTTAGGTATTTGCCAAAATTTCTATACTGCATTGAATTTTATCACAAGTCAGTGTCAAGTTCACTAATCTGTAGTTTCAAGAATTAATCATGCCCACCTCTTTTTTTGACCATTTTCTTAATTTTTTCTCAAGTCCTCAAGTGAATATACAATTTATTTAACATTCAAACTTCATTAAGACATGTGCAATATGGCAATTTTACTGGGGGTTTAACCCTATCTAGGATGATTGCTTGCTGGGGCTTAGCAACAGGGTCCAACTTAGCACTAATTAAATACTTTATTGAATAAATATAATGCCAAACAAAATGCATTCAAATGCTTTCTAAAAAAAATCAATTTTAAAGGTCTTTCTATTCAGCCTAATGACAAACACAATAAAGGTAGATATGCTAGTTTAACATAATTGGCTGATTTTATACAGCCAATTATACAGCACTTGTATCTTTTAGTCTGCAAGTATATTATTAAATGATAGAGAACATCTAATACAACCATTTCTACAGAACTAGGAAATAAATTTCTAAGAAAGAAAGATTTTACAGACCCCATCTTTTATACCCACCCCAAGAGTAATACCCCAAATGTTACTAATGTCATAATTATTTTCTATAAGCTTGGTCAGTGCCCGGGGATGTATTAATCAAGCCTGTCAGCTTAGATTCATTGGAAGCAGCTAGCTCTGCTCTATTTTCTCCTCACCTTTCTGGCCTTTAATTCCATCTCTATGTTGTTAATTATTCCCTTTCCCATTTGAAGATTGTTATCTTTCATAGTGAACTAGATACAAAAGGGAAATTGAGTATTTCTATTCTTCTGATCACTTTAGGGCCTAAAATATTAAACTGCCAGAAGAAAACCTATAATATCCAAAGAGTAGTTCTTTTAAATATTTCTTTTCTGTGGATGAAGTAAAAATATCTCAGTTGTTCTGGGAATTTCCACTTGTCCTTCCTCTTGTAATTGAATCCTCAGGAGTCAGCATATATTATATTTTTCTTGATAGCAATGATACAGTTTTAAAAAGAGCTATTTCAAGCCAAAAGTTGTCAACTTTAAAATGGAATGGAATTGAAATTGAAGTCAATTTATAAAGCAGAAATCAGAATGACTGGGGATTTGGAGACTGATGTGGTGCAACAGAAGAGAGAATGATGTAGCAGGAAATGGGGTTGGGCTGAGTGAGAGCTTAGTCCTTGTCTTGGCTCTGCCAATAACTACATGTGTGACCTGGGCTTCACCCCTCTGGAAACTACTATTCACTATTACATTACATTATATTATATTATATTTAATCTACTATAAACAAGGGATTACTGAATGAACAATGAGATTCCCTTTTAGCTCTATCAAAAGAAAGAAAGAGAGAGGAAGGAGGAGACAGAGGGAGAGAGGAAGGAAGGAAGGAAGGGAGGGAGGGCGGGAGGGAGGAAGGAAGGAAGGGACAGATGGACGAACTTGTATTCTATGTTCATACCTGCTTAGGTTTCAATTATCAGGCTAATGGAAAAACTTAATCCTCTCCAAGTATCTCAAAAGAACAAAGGATATTTTCTACATGATAAGGAGTAAATGTTTCTGTGAGGAAACTACATAAGGAGTATGCTTAGTATCTGGTGATGGAATGGGTGTGATTTCCTTTCATTGAGATTCTCTAAAGAACTGTCCTTCAATCTGCAATCATGACAGCTAGGAAACATTTTGCAAGGTGTGACTAGAGAACATTGTACTTAAAATCACAACACCCTTGTACATTCTTTTTCTTAAAGTATTGTTTTGTTTTTTAAAAATTTTAATAGTGTAAAGCAAGGTGATATTAACACCAGTATCACAATCTTTGGGGACAGGTTTGGGAAAAGGAATTATCATTCATTAAGCTCCACACTAGTCTCACAGTTTAAATGATTAATCTCATCCAAACTTCATAGCAACCCTATCCAAAAAGTGAAGGCCAAATACAATAAGTGCCCTGCCCATGGTTACATCAGAGTCAAAATCGTTGGCCAACTCCAAAACCCTTGTTCTTTTTCCTGTCTCCTCTAAGAATTTTCCTATTTGAAAAAGAAATTGCAAATACATAAGTTCTTATATACAAACTTTACACACCTCATGGTAAAAAGTCATTAATACTTTTGCTTGGTCTGGTCTCTCTGCCTCTTTATCATTTAGGGCAATGTTTACCTCCACTTCTCTTTTTATAGGATGACTTCAGATCAGTTCAACACACATTTGTTGAGTGGATACACAAAAGATAAATAACTGAAAACCTCTGCCCTCAAAGAGAGTTAGGAGTCAGGCAGATAATGAATGAGAAAGCATTTTGTAAACTGAAAAGCACTTTATAAATGCAAGGCATAGTTGTTACTGCTATTAGTAACAGTAGCAATGATTATTATTTTAACATGTAGGACCTAGGTCAGGTTTGATGCCTACTTTTCCCTGAAACATCTCCACTAGAAGTATACAGCCTAGAGCAATCCAGTGAGTCAGTCTTTAGTAAATTGTCAGTTTCAGTCAAATGATTTAATGATCCTTGCTATTAACTTTAAAAGTAATTCCTTGCTATTAACTTCAAAGCCAGCAAGTTGGTGATCTGTTGTATGCCAAAGGCTGCTTAGCCATTCTGTATTTCCCCCTTCTACTATTGAAATAGCACAAGGGACCGACCTCCTAGTAGAGAAAAGGAGAAACCTTTTCTCTCCTGTGGAAGTCTATAATCGGGTTTATTCTTTTCTTCCATCCCCATCCATCCTCTCAAATTCACTACCCTGGGAAGACTTGGTAACTGCACATTTTGACACATATTTATTTGCATAATTGAAAAATCACAGATGCTTCAAAAATAATCTTTCTTATTGTTCTTTATAGAAGCAACATGTTTGAAACAGGTAGTTTTGGAAAGCTCATTTGTAGATTTTGGGAAAATGTTTGATACTGATACTTTACAATCAATACAACAATCAATATGAGAGAATCCAGGAAATCTAGCTACTTTCCTGGCTACAAACTAAATCATGTCTCTCTTTTTCTTCTAGGACAATCCATTTTTTGATCTGCACTTCAAGAAAGTGTACAGTTTGGAAGCATATAGTTGTGCTTCCAAATATGCCTTTGTTCGAACTGTAAACAAGCTGAATCATGCATACCTTAAGAAGGACTTACGGATCGTGAACTTTGATTCTACTTACATTCATGATGATTCCATTTGGTCCTCCAACAACAAGGATTGCTTGGTCCTTATGAGAATATGCTTTTATGCTTTCAGTCTAGTGTGCTTTTCCCTGTGTCCCCTGCCACTCTGAATATGTATACCATGTTCCTTCATCAGTGTTCTATGAAAATGGTTCCCTAAGTAAATATTGATAGTCATGATTTTGTTTTTTCCCTTTATCAGTGACTACTATTCATATGAAAATAAAGTGATGCTTTGTGAATTGCAGTGAAATGTGTTTCGATGCATTCATTCAATATTCTGGACTTTTGCCTATGGTAACTTTGGAAGGAGTTGGATGGTTTTGCCTAAACTAGTATTCTACTATGGGGTATCAAAAATTATCTTGAAAGGTCTAAATAAGTGGAAATACATCCTGTTTTCACGGACAGGAAGATTTAATATTGTCAAGATGTCAATACTACCCAAAGTGATCTGCAGATCAATATAATCCCTATCAAAATTCCAATGGCTTTTTTTGTAGGAATGGAAAAGTCAATAGTCAAATGCATATGGAGCTGCAAGGGACCCCACATAGACAAACGATCTTGAAAAAGAAGTACAAAGTTGGAGGACTCACACCTCCCAATTTCAAAACTTACTACAAAGGTATAATGATCAAAGCAGTATAGTACTGGCATAAAGATAGACATACCGATGAATGGAATAGAACTGAGAGTTCAGAAATAAACTCATACATCTATGGTCAACTGATTTTTGGAAAGGATGCCAAGTTCATTCAAAGGAGAAAAAATAATCTCTTATTATTAGTGCTGGGACAACTGGATATCTACATGCAAAAGAAAGAAACTGAACCCCTTTCTTACAGCATACACAAATATCCTTAAAATGGATTAAAGGTGTGAATGTAAAACCTGAAAGCATTAAACTCCTAGAAGAAAACATAGGGGTAAATCTTCGGGACCTTAAATTTGGCAATGGATTTTTATGACATCAAAAGGAAGAGGAACAAAAGAAAAATTAGATAAATTGGACTTCAACAGAGTTACTTTTGCATCAAAGAACATTATCAAGAAAGTGAAAAACAGACCTACAGAATGAAAGAAAACATTTGCAAATTGTATATCTGATAAAGGTTTAATGTAAAGAACTCCTACAACTCAGTAACAAAAAGACAAACACCTAATTCAAAGATAGACAAGAAATTTGAATAGACATCTCTGCAAAGTATACAGTAAGCACAAGAAAAGAAACACAGCATCATTAGTCATTAGGGAAATGCAAATCAAAACCAAAATGTAACCCCCTTCACACCTACTAGGATGGCTATTTTTAAAAAATACAGAAAACAAGAAGTGTTGGCAAAGATGTGGAGAAACTGAAACCCTTATACATTGCTTTTGGGAATGTAAAATGGTATAGCATGGTGGAAAACAGTTTGACTTGTCCTCAAAAAGCTAAACATGGAATTACCAAACAACCCAGCAATTTCACTCCTAGGTATATACCCAGAGGAATTGAAAGCAAGGAGTTGAATAGATGTTTGTACACCAATAATCATTGCAGCATTATTCCCAGTAGCCGAAATATGGAAACAATGCAAGTGTCCATCAACAGATGAATGGATATACAAAATGTGATATATCCATACAGTGGAATATTATTCTGCCATAAAAAGCAATGAAGTTCTGATACATGCTACAACATTGATGAACATCAAAAATACGTGAAGTAAAATAAACCAGATACAAAAGGACAAATATTGTATGCTTTCACTTATATGAAATATATAGACTAGGCAAAATCAGAGACAGAAAGTAGATTAGCAGTTACCAGGGGCTGGGAGGAAGAAAAAATGGGGAGTTATTACTGAATGGTTATAGAGTTTCTGTTTGGGGTGATGAAAAAGTTTTGGAAATAGATGGTGGTGATGGTTGCACAACACTGTGAATGTAATTAATGCTGCTGAATTATACATTTTTAAATGGTTAAAATGGCAAATTTAATGTTATATATATTATACCATAATTTTTAAAAACAATGTAATATGTTAGAAATAATTGAATTGTACACTTTAAATTGGTGAATTGCATGGTGTGTGAATTATACATCAATAAAAATGTTAACAAGAAAAAAAGGACTACTTTAAATCTACTAGAAGAAAACATGGGTGAATTTTTTTATAAACTGAGAGTGGGGAAAACTCCTAGCTATCACTCAAATCTAGAAACAATGAAGAAAAATGATTAATTTAACTACATCAATATAAGAAGCCTTTGCATGAAAAGAAAAACTATATTCAATCAAATGACAAACTGGAAAAAGTGCAAGTTATGTAGCAATACATTTATACCTTTCATATACAGATTGCTCCTAAAATTGAAGAGTTAAAAAAACTAACTGCAATTTGCTGAAAAATTAGTAAAAGATACATACATAGAAAAAGAATTGCAAATGACACTTAAACATGTAAGATACTTAACCTTGCCCATAATAGGAGAAATACCAATTAAATATACAGTGTGATCCTGTTTCTTACCTCTCTATTGGAAAAAATTCAAAACTTTGACAATATTCCATCGGGAATGGGAAAACAGTTCCCCTCATTCGCGGCTGTTGGAAATGCAAGAGAGTACAAATCTGATAGGAGAGGAATTTGAGAATATCTTGCAGAACTATGTATACATTTACTCTTTTATATGGAAATTTAATTTTATTTCTAGGACTCAAAGGCATCCCAAAGGTACTTTGGCAAAGATGCAGAATGACAGATGCATAAGGCATGTGACATTGTTTGCAAGAGTGAAATATTTCAAATAGTCCGAATATCCATCTTTAGAGGAAGAGGCCTGATTGGAGGCCATTGGCATGGGGGAGGTGTTGGCGGGCTAAGAAGAAGCCAAGCATACTAGGTGATTGGTTAAAGGTATGTATATGGCTTTCTCTATAGTTGGTCCTAAGTCAGAAGTGGGGGCCAAAATCAGGGAAGCTGGGTTATTAATCAAGTCCTGGTCATTTGGGGCCCATTACTACAGGGGCTATTAGGCTTTCTAGATTGGTTGCTACAGATAGTAGTTTGACTTCCTGGACTGGTTACTGAACATACTAGTATGGCTTCCTCAGCTGGTTGCTGCAGGTGGTGGGGCAGAGTTCTATTTTTATATATAATCTGCCCATTGTCCATTTGTATATTCAGAAATATCTTGTTTATGGTGATGGTTACATGACTGTATACACTTGTCAAAATCCATCGAACCTAAAAGCATATCCAGAAGCTTAATTGTTAGTAATATTGGTAGTGTTATTTTGACAGTATCATAGGAGTGTGAGTACTGTAAGATTAAACACGTTATCACGTTAATGTCATTAGAAACCGAGATTTTTAAGCCTAACAGAGGGAATATACAAGTAAAAAAAAATCAAAGAAATTAAAGCCCAGTAACAGTAAATTTAACTGGAAATGGTAATATAAACTTACTAATATAAACCCCTCTTTCTTTAAAAAAAAAAAGCATGCATTTTCTAGATTTGTCTACTGAAACCGTGAAGCAAAGACATCGTGAGGCATGAGCATCTTAGCATGAAAGAGTGTTCTGCCAATACCACCTCCCACTGAAAAGACTGGAGTCTATTTAAAGAAATTACTGATTCCAGGTCTGGGACAGAAAATGTACAAGATGAACATGGGACATCTTGATGTACCTGGAAGAAAGGAAGCTATCAAAGTCAACTGGGGTCAGTCCAAGGACACAGGAGCCAACTTGAAGTAGCTCCCACTGGCCTAAGACGAGACAATTTGAGCATAACAGGAAAATGACTATAATAGAATGAAGCATTTGATCCTCTCCCTCTTTTTCTTGATGAGTCTGGCTAGTGTTTTATCAATTTTGTTTATCTTCTCAAAGAACCAGCTTTTAGTTTTATTGATCTTTGCCACTGTTTTCTTTGTTTCTATTTCATTTATTTCTGCTCTGATCTTTATGATTTCTTTTCTTCTGCTAACTTTGGGTTTTGTTTGTTCTTCTTTCTCTAGTTCCTTTAGGTGTAAGGTTAGATTGTTTATTTGAGACTTTTCTTGTTTCTTGAGGTATGCCTGTATAGCTATAAACTTCCCGCTTAGAACTGCTTTTGCTGCATCCCACAGGTTTTGGATCGTCGTATTTCATTGTCATTTGTCTCTAGGTAATTTTTGTTTTCCTCTTTGATTCCTTCAGTGATCTCTTGGTTATTTAGTAACATACTGTTTAGTCTCCATGTGTTTGTGTATTTTACGTTTTTTTCCCTGTAATTCATTTCTAATCTCATAGCATTGTAATCAGAAAAGATGCTTGATATGATTTCAATTTTCTTAAATTTACCAAGGCTTGATTTGTGACCCAAGATGTGATCTATCCTGGAGAATGTTCCATGTGCACTTGAGAAGAAAGTGTAATCTGCTGTTTTTAGATGAAATGTCCTATAAATATCAATTAAATCTGTCTGGTCTATTGTGTCATTATTTAAAGCTTGTGTTTCCTTATTAATTTTCTGTCTGGATGATCTGTCCATTGGTGTAAGTTAGGTGTTAACGTCTCCCACTATTATTGTGTTACTGTCAATATCCTCTTTTATAGCTGTTAGCATTTGCCTTATGTATTGAGGTGCTCCTATGTTGGGTGCATATGTATTTATAATTGTTATATCTTCTTCTTGGATTGATCCCTTGATCATTGTGTAGTGTCCTTCCTTGTCTCTTATAACATTCTTTAAGTCTATTTTATCTGATATGAGTATTGTTATTCCAGCTTTCTTTTGATTTCCATTTGCATGGAATATCTTTTTCTATCCTCTCACTTTCAGTCTGTATGTGTCCCTAGGTCTGAAGTTGGTCTCTTGTAGACAGCATATATGAGTCTTGTTTTTGTATCCATTCAGTGAGCCTGTGTCTTTTGGTTGGAGCATTTAATCCATTCACATTTAAGGTAATTATCAATACGTATATTCCTATTACCATTTTCTGAACTGTTTTGGGTTTGTTTTTGTAGGTCCTTTTCTTCTGTTGTGTTTCCCACTTAGAGAAGTTCCTTTAGCATTTGTTGTAGAGCTGGTTGGGTGGTGCTGAATTCTCTTAGCTTTTGCTTATCTGTAAAGCTTTTGATTTCTCCATGAAATCAGAATGAGATCCTTGCCAGGTACAGTAATCTTGGTTGTAGTTTCTTCCCTTTTGTCACTTTATATATATCATGCCACTCCTTTCTGGCTTGTAGAGTTTCTGCTGAGAAATCAGCTGTTGACCTTATGGGAGTTCCCTTGTATGTTATTTGTCGTTTTCCCTTGTTGTTTTTAATAATTTTTCTTTGTCTTTAATTTTTGTCAATTTGATTACTATGTGTCTCAGCATGTTTCTCCTTGGGTTTATCCTGCCTGCGTCTCTCTGTGCT